GCTGGTTCTGCTGCATGCTTTGAAAGACACCTATAATAATTGTTTTTCCTTTCTGTGTCAGTTCCTCTTCTCTTTGAAAGCACTGTAATAACGATGTAAAAAGTGACAGTGGCTGCAAGTCAGATGTAGGTTTTCTTTGTGTAGTATGCATTTGGACCCAAATTGTCTGGATATCTACAGAAGTAATATATAGCAAGGAATGAAACAAAGATGGCATACCTAAAATATGCCGACACATTTGTGTTATCCTCGGCAATTTTGAAATGTTGACGAAAAGAGAAAATATTACCCTTTTCGCCTCAGAAAAATCTCATGGAATTTTTTGTTTTCCTTTTAACAAGATAATTTATCAAATAAGGCTTAAACTGTTTGTATAACACATCCTTTGCTTGAAAGGTATTCAACAGCTTCTTAGAAGTTAAAAAAATAAGATGTAAGATATACAGCCACAGGAGTGGCGTATGCAGAAATAGAGTGCTTTTGGGATCCATTTGTGAGGCAGAACCTGCCTGGATTTGCTACTGTGTTAGCTGTAGTTAATGGCTGAAAGAACTAATTAAGTGTTCTTGAAGGGAATTTGTACTATTTCAGAGGGGTATCTGTGAATACTTACATACAGATCTCTTTATTAGCAGAAAACTATAATACAGGATTTATTCTGATCTCCCTCAAAATAGCCCTCCTGTTTTGTCCATCTTCAGAAAGGACTCGAAATTAAATGGAAAATTTCAGAATGGAGCCTTAGCCTTTTCTGTGCTGTGCACTGCCTTGTGTGGTAAGGCGAGATATCGTGGTCTCTTTCTTGGAACAACCGCAGGGACCATTTTGCGGCTGCTTCACAAGTATGTGAAGCTGGACCCTTGCCACTCGAGGCGTACTTTTAGTGCAGCCTTCAACACACTTGCCTGGATCTCTGGGCTGCAGCATCTGCACAAACTCCTTTTTAAAAACAGAATATTTGTTTTGAAGTAAACTTTGATGTTTCTTCAGTGAATTGGATTTTTACGCAAGACTTCACAGTCATATCAACTGCTTCTCTTTTGTGTATTGAACTTCATTATGGGTTTTTCCTCTCCGACAAAAAAGATGCTTTTGTGGTTAAAGTACATAACTGGATTTCAGGAAATCAAGAATTCAGTTTCTGGTTAAACCACAAATTTCCTGTGTGATTGGTTGCTATCTCTGCCTTGGTTCCCCACCAGATGTAATGTTGATCTTTTATAAATTTTCAGATTGGCAGGACCCATTTTTGTAATTTAATCTGAACCTCTGCATGATGGAAATGAAAAAAATTGAAAAAGTTATTTACCTGCATAAAATTACAGGGTTTGTTTCTGCTGTAACATCTTGGAAGTTTTAAACAGCCTTAAATTTGGGTTCAGGAATCCTTAATAATGGGTTCAGGATGCCATTTTCCTGTCTTGTAGTGAAACACTCTCATCTTTAAGCATCTTCAGTGGTAATGTGTTGGGGTTTGGTTTTCATTTATTTATTATTTTGAATTTTACCTAAATTTTTAATCTTTTTCCTGGAAGTAAAGGACTCGGTTAACTAAAATTGTTAGATTAGCCAAGGCATTTCTTAATAGTTCCTTAATAGTTTTCCTAAACTACAGAGGTTTTTTTACTCAGTTAATCTGAGTGTTCAACATAGCTCATACTTTGGGTTAAGGAGATACTGGTATATGCACAGATCATGTACTGTGTATGCAAATTGAGACCATATTTTCAGAGTACCTTTATTATAAGGGTTTATTCTTATTTGTTTGCAGAGTTAGATGGCCAGGGCTACTTTTCTGCAGTTTAATGCAATGAAATTTTCTTTTGTAGCGATAGTTTTGAAAATACTGCTTTGAACTGGTTTGAGGCAGCCCCTAAGGTTTGCTGGCTGCATGTATTTCTTGGGCCCAAAACTGTTGATGTGGTACAAAAGTTTGCAAAAGGATTTTCAGGAAAGCTGTCCAGTAGAAGCAAGCTGCTAGCCAAATCCTGAGCACCATTTCTGAGATTAGTTCTTTAGTCTATTATACTAATTCTGTATTTTTGACCTTTTTCACAGTCCAGTTTTGTCAGTCTTAGCTATATGCAAATAGGTTTTGCCAATATAAAAGTACGGTGCTCTTTCCCTGCAGCATGTATATCCAAATAGGATACTCTATTTCAACGGGAATATTCCACTGGAGCTTGTGCTCAGCTGAGATCATCACCTTCCCATGCCTGCTGGTGGGAGGCTGATCTGAGCACCCCTTAGTCCTCTTTAGTCACACCTTAGTTCTAAACACAGCAGAAGCAGCATGTGCTGATCTTACTGCCTTTGCTTTGCAGCTCTGCCAGCGAGCGGAATCATAAGGAGAGTATGTTATGACAAGACATTGTGGCAAACATTGAGACACTGACTTCAGGTTCCAGGCTCTGCAGCTGGCATGGGGTTGTTATTTGGCTGGGGGCTTTTCTGGGTTTGGTGATTTTTGGGATTTTTTTTTTACAGTAATTTTTGTGATTCACTTTGATGCAATTAGCAATCTGAAATTAACTAAAGCTCCATTTGATTATATTAGAAGTTTGCTTATCTAAGTATATTTCTAGGTAATTCATACTGGTTTTCATGATTGACCTCTTATTGTCATTAGCTATTGTTCCACTGTTTTTGTCATCACCGAAGTTGTCTGATCTTACATTTTCTTTCAAACCACTTAACTGCTTATAAATCTACAGAACACAAGGTGGCCAACAGAGGAATCCTTTTGATGCTTAGCTCCAAATGCCTATTGAATTTAACAATTTCCTATGTGTGGGCTGTTGAGATTTTCCTCATCTCCCCTTTGAAATTGTCATTGATCAGAATTATAAGCAAGATGGAGCCAGATGTCTTACAGAAGTCCTCTATGTCACCACAATTACTTTGTCAGCCCAAAAAGTGACCCCATTTAAAAAGGCTGTGGAGGCTGGGAACAGCCTATTTTTTGTAGAAGTGGGTAGAGCACTGCTATTTATATACCAGTCTGATATTTTCTGATACATTAATGACTGCAGAGACCTCACTGGCCAATAGCTTCTTGGTATTCCTGGATAGCTAGTTATAACTTTCATGTTCTCACTGGGTTTCATTTTCTAAAGTAGCCCTTCTTTTCCAACTGTCACATTATTTTTTATTTTTGGAACAGTCAGTACTAGGCTGGTAATGTTCTGATGTCTAGGGATACTTGAAGGCATGTCTGCTTTGTACCAATAATTGCTTATTCTGTTAAAAAACCCCGACATTACTTCATATTAAATTTACTTCAAAATGCAGCCCCATTTACAGCCTAACTTACTCTTTAAAATGAGAACAGAAATGGTATGTTATTCTATTTTTTCCACCCCACACTGATTTCTATATAATTTCTCACTGTATTTATGTGGCTTCTAGGTGCAAGATACAGGATATATATTTTTTCCTTTGCATTTAGGGACAGATTTACTTATCTGTGCAGGATGTGTGTGGTTGCTGGAGGTGGCAAAATAAAGAAAAGAGTGCCTTGCATCACAACGGAAGATGATAAAGCTTATAATCACACTAAATTTCTCGTGGCCTTAGGAAACAGAAGAGGGAGAGGCTACAGAAGCTGTCACTCTATTATTGTTCCTTCTTCCTTCTCCTTCTCAACAGAATTAATTTGATCTGAGCTACTCTGGTAGGTGTTGTCATAAGGATTTATTACACAGTGTTTGGACTGACCGGTAAAAGTTTTCTCTTTTGCGAAGATAAAGTTTACTTACATGGTAAGAGGGGTTGACCCATTGATTTTGGCCATAATTGTGATACTGTTTATCATTTTTCTTCTGCCCCAGACCACAGGAACTTTTAACAAAGGGGTAAAAGTTGAATTTTTGTATGAGAAGACAGCAAAAAATCACATGAACATATGTGAGATGTCTAGGTATCCTTGCTGTTACAGAGAAGAAAGAAATTCCTAATATAGAGTTTTAAGATGAAAAGCCTTATAAAATTTTGAAAGACTAACTTATACCTGAAACTCAGGATTCACCTGAGTGTTGCCAGCATGCATGTTTAAAGTATGGGGTTGTGTTTAATTTTAAATTCTCTAAATATTTATTTGCCCTTTTACCTTGTTCTTATTTCCCCCTCTCTCATTCTTTTCCATCCCCTAGTTTTCACCACTTCTAGTTCCACCCCACCAAATTTCCTCTCTGTGCTTCTTCACGTTCCCTTTTGCATTAATGCAGATTCTTGAGTTCTTTAGAGAGGCTGTATTTATTAGAAAAGTTTAATAAAATGTCATCCCTTTTAAAGTTAGTTTGATGAACTGATCTGCAGAATTAGCATCTTCATACAACTGAGAAACCTGTAATTTGTGACTCATACCTGGGAATATATTTCATTATTGTTTTTAAGAAAAGGAAAAAAAAAATATTTTTAGTAATTTGTCTCCTCTGTAGGCATATTGGCACTTTAGATATGAATATAAACATGGATATACTATATATACAGAGTACATCTATATGCCTTCACATACACAGAGGTACATGCCTGTCATATGTGCCTGTCTTTTAAGTACCACTGGATGAAATTCTGCCAGGAAACTTCACATTGCTTCTGCCAGGAAACTTTACATGGTTTCTGCACTTTTAGATAAGGCTTAAAATCACCAGTGGTACTGGCTGTGCCTGAATTTAAAGATTATGGGAAATGGCTATAGCAAGCTGCCACGTAAATAACTGGTGGAAAGTGAAAGGAGGAAGGTAGCTTGTGAGAAAGTATTCGTTTCCAAAATGCAGCACAGAGAGGTGGAAACAGAGGGAAGACAGAATCTTAGATGTTCACTGTGAACATTAAGTCTAATGGTGCTATCAAGAGCTTCATATGACAGGAAATGATCTGGGCGTTTTGTTCACTTATTCTGGATGCCCTTAGTTTCAGAGAGCAACTGCTAACATGGATTGCACCTCGGAAGGGGACAGCTGAACTCTCCCTCTGGCTTTAGTAAGGAAAGAGCAGCGATGAAATCCGTGGACTGTGTGCACGTCATCCAACAGAAGGATACCGCCTCCTCTCCCTCTGCCCCCCCTGGTGCTGTTTCAGGCACCACGGGACTTTTTCCTGTCACATTCCTGTGGCTTGCAATGCTCCTGTCCTCTTGTCTTGCAGCAGTGTCTCTTTACCATGTTATCATCCTGAAAACAGAACTAGAAGCTCTGCGCAGCGAGCTGATCTACAGCATCCAGGCCAGGTCTCCGCTAGACCAACCACTCATGTCCCCCGATGCAAACAAAGCAGGTAGCCCTGTTTCTTCCTTCCTGCAAGTGTCTGCAGCTGGCTCCAGGCAGGTAAGCTGGAGGGCTGGGTTTGGGCTTGCAGGGCATGGACCAGTGTGGGGCTGCTCTCACTGACTGCTGCTTCTCCTTGCTAGGAGAGCAGGCTTGCTGGTGCTGGCGCAGCTGAGAGCTTCCAAAAGGAAATCTGGAACGGGAGTAGAAACAGGGGCAGGCGGTCTGCTGACAACACAGAGGAAAAAGGTAAATACCAGATGATGAATTGGGTTGGGGTGCTGCTGTTGGATACCGTCTAGAAAAAAGCAGGAGTGTTTGATTTGTGTTTTCTTTCTCCTGTCAGTTGATCTGTGCTCCCGGAGCCCATTCTGGTTTTCAAAATTCATGGTGGATGAATGATGTTAACCATAGGCATTTCTCTTAAAGGACAGAATATTAAATCACAGAATGCTTTGGTTTTGAAGGGATCTTTAAAGGCATGTAGTGCCACCACCCTGCCATGAGTAGGGACATGCTGTTAAAGGTACCAGATATTTATGCTATCTGCAGGTTAAACTTTGAATGTTAGATCCCAAATCTGCATGATGTGTTAGAGTTGAGAAAGGCAACTTCAAATCATTCAGATTTTTAACTGTTCAATTCTCTCTGATCAAATTAGGGAGGGAAATCTATTAATAAAAATGCCAATTCACTTTTCTGGGAAGCATACTCATCAAAAAAAAAAAAAAAAGAGAGAAGTAATGAGAATTTTAAGGAAATAGGAGCTTTTAAGAAGAAAGGCTGGCTCATACCTGACAAAATAGGCAGACTACAAGGAATTCAGAGATTTAGCATCATTTCTACATTAAAACAACCTATCAATAAATAGTAAAATTAATAAAGGAATGCCTACCCAGTAAGATTATTTTGGTCATGGTTCTCTTTTTCAAAAGGTTCTGCAAAGAACACTGAAGACTGTGTTCCATAAAAGACCTCTGATGTATATTATAAAGTTGACATATTAATGGGATATATTTTTTTCCTCTGGGTATAAAATATTTCATTACTTTTCCAAACACAATGAGGTCTTATAAGATGAAATAAAGAATTTTATTATACCAGTTTGCACACATACACTAATTGCACTGAGTAACTAAAATATTCCTGAGTTGCTAAATCAGTTCACTCTTCTTATGTATACTTTTATATTATTTTAACTAATACCTTAAGCTATTTAGAGAAGTTGAAATGGAGTAAATGATAGAGTAAATGAAGCTTTGTGTAAAAATGTTTCTTAGTGAGCAACTAACATGAAATGTATTTCACTTGAGTTTCAGTAAGCTAAATGAAATTTAAGTTCTAGAGTATAATCACTCCACTTACTTCCAATATTCAAAAAAACTCCATTATTTTAGGACATAACTTAAAATCCATAGGTTTATATGAGATTTATTCTATTTCTATTTCAGTCTTTGATTCAAGATCTTGGCTAAGAAAGATTTCGCAAACAGGACTGAGGTCATGATTGCTTAAATTGTATTTCTTGTAGCCTGTTTCCTACCACAGGAACCACAGAACTCCCCTGCCCTCCCCACCCTAGGAACTCCCAAATAAAAAAAAAGTGATCTGAAGTAAAAATATCATAAAAAATAAGGAGATGACTTTTTAAAATGAATGTTAGAGCATCAATACTCTGCAAGTAATCCAGTTTCCTTCACAATAACTTTCATCTTTTGTCTTATTGCAGTTTGAGATGAGCAGGTTTGGGGCTCCTCAGCTGTGCTTCTGAGTAGACTTTTGATTCTTCTCATCATGTAGCCACCTCTGATCATACCTGTAGCACATAAAATTTCAATTAGGCTACTTATTTTGGTAAACTTTTATTAAGGTACAGCTGGCTTTAAAGCCGTTTAGGATGGATAAAAGAAAACACAAAATATGAGCATTCATTTTAAAGGGAAAAACTACATAAGTTGACCTATTACAAAAATGTTTTCGAACATGAACCTCATATTTTGTATATAAAAAAGAAAAAATTAAATTGCAAATCTTGCATTTATATCAAAGGTTGTCTGTTAGCATTAGCTTTCTACCCACTCTAATTACAAACAATTTAGCTTTTTAAAGTTCAGTAACATTGTATTTTCTCAGATCAGATTTCACTGATGACCATGAACCTACTAGTCAATGTTAAATTTTGTTTTAGCAGAGTGAGTTAAATAGAAGAACATGGTGTTGTTCATGGTGCTGAATCCAGTCTACTACTTGGTCATGTACACAGAATTACAGGCCCTTCATTTTGACCTTTTGACATTCATATCTGGGTTCCAGAATCCCATCAGTCTCCAAATTGTCCTGCAGATTTGTGGCACTCGTTCTGTATTAATGACAAATAAATCAGGCTATTGAGTGAGGTGCTTGTTCTTGCTCTACTTCTCTTTGCTTCAGCAAGGTCTCAAAGTAGAGTCTGATTTCATAATTAATTGTTGACTCATCATTTTACTTTTATATGGATGAATTCCTTAGAAAGTTAATATTTGGAAACGTCACTGGTAAATAATTGCTTCTCTTGTGCTTCAACAGAGAGCAGAAGTAAAATATAAACTAATATCTGGTTTATAAATACAGTTATTGTTCAGTTCTGGGATTTTTAGACTTTACTCATCAAATTCCAGGAATGGATGCCCCATCATTCTTTTTTTAGACCTACTACAGCCTTTCTTAAGCATACTGAATTTTCATTTTAATGCACACAAGTGAAGCATTTTAATTAAAAGGATAAATTAATGAAAGTGCCTTTAACACAATGTTGTTGCTTTTTTTATGGAGTTTACATTTGTCTGTGCTAATGCATAAAACTATTAGTCATCAGTAGTTGCACATTTTGTGTCTTGAAAAAATTTCCAGCTCGGGTAGGTTGAAGAGAAGTTTTTCAAGCATCAATTCCAAATAAAGCTGCACAGTCAGCAGTCAGAACCAGAGTTCTTGATGCAATGAGTAGGAGGTAATGGGTGATTTTGAAACGTACACTCCTGGCAAATGTCATATCAGGACATGTTTCAACAGATGTAACTTTTTCTTTTTGTCTTTCTCTTTGCAAATTTCATCCCTGGAGGAAAATTGGTGCACAAGAAAAGACCTCTCCTGAATTTTATATTTCATTCACAGTTATTGATTGCAGTGCCTGTGCGTTCCTAAAAGCTGCATGTGCACTTGAGCCTAGGAACAAGATTTAGGTCCCATTGCCTAAGCCAAAGTACGAACATCAGGTTTCATTTTCACACTCCTTCAGTGCCTCAATCTGATCATTATTGTGGGATTCTGATCCCCATGGCTGAGGGAGGTGAGAATCAGGCCTTCTGTAAGCACAAATGCTGGGATCAGAGTGGAGCCCCCATGGACTGCATTTACTTTGGTGTGCGGAGGTTGCCCAACTCCTTGCATGCATGAAGGAGCTGAGGAGCTATTCTATGTAATTCCACAAATCAATGGGGCTGCGTCACCTGGCATGTGATTTGGCAATTCATTTTTTTACTAGCAATTTTCGGGTTCTACTCCAACAGCAGTCGTGTCTGTGGGAAGTAACTCTCACCTTCCAAGCATTGTGTTAGAATTTCGCCATTGCTCTTGATAAAATTGCTGTACTGGAATATTGGCACATTTGTTGGTTGGAAGTGTTTTGACTGTGTATGTTGTTACTTTAGATATCTGTGACAGAGGGATGGCAAGAGGTTTTACAAGTGGTACTTGACTTTAGTGATCTTTGAATTGAGATGTAAGCTTTTTTTACTAGCTTAAACAAATGCCACATATTGAATTCCCTTACCAAATATTCACAATATGAATAAGGGAATTTTATATGTGGCATTTGTTTAAGCTAGTAAAAAAAGCTTACATCTCAATTTGAAGAGGTCAACTATGAAATAAAAATTAAAATCAAAGTAAAACGGAGAAAGGCCTACTTCTTGAAAATATATGTTATCCTTATTTGTTTCTGCTGGCAAAAGTCTAACTCAAAAGGAAATAGACCCTTCTATGAAAAGGGAGAGAAAATTACTCTATGCAATTCCTGCAATTTTACATGAAGAATTTCACTGAATGAATGAGTGAATAAATCAGTGCTGTGTATTATGCATAGTCAAAAATACACCAAATAGGCTCTAAGTTTTAAACCCAACATTCTGTTATATACTGTATAATAGAAGTCTTAATCCATAGTAAACACTTCCCTTATTTTTCTAAAGGTAACATGTTATTGGCAAATTCTGTGAAGGCCAAAATAATGCTATTAATTCTTCGAAGATGTTTGTTAGCTCTTAGTCATGCATGCAACTATGATCAGGGCATTTTAATACAGGGATGGACTGAATCCATAATTAATGCCATATAAAGACGTCTCTGTTAAATAATATCAGATTAGCCAGTTGTCCAGGTTTCTACTGTGATAGAGTTCATGAAAACCAGTTTATAAAAATGCACATGCAAAAACTAGAAGACTTCTTGTGATGAGAAATCAAGAAGTTAAGGGAAGAAAAACTGCAAATGCTTCAAGAAAATGCTTGTCATTATAAATTAAATTTTCTGGTCTTTAAATGTGCTTTGGGAAGCCTACAGAGAACAGACCTAGACAAAAAAGGAACCTATATAAGGAGGTCTGGGTTTGCTTCTTTATTTTTTCAACATTAGGGTTTTTCCTAGGTTTTATTTCAGCAAAAATGAGCACAAATGTCTCAGACCTCAGATATCAAAACTTAACATTTTATGCATGAGCTTACAAATATTAAACTTGAAATTTTGTTTCAAGTGAGAAGTGCGATTGCAAAAATACTTAAATTATTATGCAATTTTAAAAATAACAAAGTTTACATGCAAGGGGAAATTTTATTTTATCAATGTAAGTTCTTAAATCATGGAGATATGCTGTCCTTCAGCAAAAGATAGTAGAGATTTTTTTTTAAGTTGTGACAGCATTGCTCAACCAGTAGAGAACACATCATTGCATGTGCTGGCTGTGGTTTATAAAGGCATCTGGACTGTCTAACATCTTCAAGACACTTTATACAGATAGATCTCATGGTAACATTCAGTCTAGGTATTTTTACACATTTTCAAGTTGTATTGCATTAATCCTGCATTTTGCTTTCATTATTAATCAGAAATCCTCTAGACTACAAAGATGTTGCTCAGGTTTGACTTACATTGGGCTAAAAGACATTAAGTAGCAACTATTCAATGTGTATTTTGTAATACATGTATTCTTCATATTGTACTTGAGATGAGGGTACTTCTTGGAGTACAATTGCTGGTGTTTTTTAGCAACATTTACCTTTTACTGAAAATTTCTGATAATTTACCCAGAAAATGTACTTTGTATTTCCATATCTTCTCCTTCTTAGTAGTAGTGTTTACTTGGATTTTTTTCAATAAATTACTCAATTTTAGGCATGTAAATAGTTCCACTGAAGTCAAAGTACTTGTATATACGGGAAATAGTTATGTGTCAATTTGGCTTCTGAACGTATTTTTGAAGCACGTTGTTGGTCAATCCTTCAAGCACTTTTTTAGATATTGTCTCTTGTAGCTTTAGGGAAAATGGCCACTGTGCTAGTTCCTCTTGTCATGAAGGACACAATTGCATGCATTTTCTCCAAAAACAAGCTTACTATATTCTGTGGAGGCTTGTTCCTATCTGCATATATTAAAAGAAAAGAGAAAGATTTTTTTAGAGATTAAGTGCAGATCTGATGTCTTTAGAATGAAGTAGAGTTGGTATGTTTTTTTTTAAAGATGCAGATGATCTCAAACTGTACTGGTCTTGCAGATTTTAATTACTAAGAGCAGTTCTCAGCAATGCTGACTAGAATTTCAGTGCTGCAACCAGCTGAAATAGAAATCCACACTTGCAAACTGAGAATTAGGACAGTTTGAAGAGTGCCCGCCAAGTTTGCAGGCAAGTTTAACAAGAGTTGCTAAAGCAGCCATAGCTTTCACTGCTTGTAGACACTGCTCACTGGCATGCAGCTGGATAGCAGCTGGTTAGTGGGAATCATCACAACTCTTCTTGTTTGGTTAGTGAAAAATTTGGTGCCCACATTAGTGAGTTCTTTCAAAAGCATGAATTAAAATTTTGTTTTAGCTTACTGAAATACTAGGTGACCACCAAATTCCATTCACTAGGGAGACATTTTGTTCCAAAATGAATTAATAACTTGTGAAACTATTTGCCTGATGTGTTATGTTGTGTGTTTCCATAAAACTGCATTTTCATTTTATTTAGAAGTTTATTTTTCAGATAATTATTTTACTCACAAGTGTGATAGAAAAATGTATGAAGTATAATACCTTTATTGATTTTGTGTTGGCTTGCGGTTTTTTATTTCCTACCTGAAAGTAGATAATTCAAATGCCCTTAAATTCTTGGTTTGAAAAATCTATAAATTGTAGCACATTATTGATGTGTATTGATAAGACTCAAGGACATATTTCAGTGTAGGAGACAGGAGTTTGGATGATAGAATTCCTATTACCATGAGGGCTTGCAGGTTGTGTGATCGTTCTGGAATTGATGCATTCCTAGATGTGCACTTGAATCCTTCTGTGCTGCCAGTTGGCACTGCTGAGTGCTGGTGAGCATCCAGCCCTCCTCTGCTGTTTTCAAGAAGAACTCCTTAAAAAGGAGATGCAGAAACATAAAGAGACTTCTTTCCACCCAAATGCTCTGGCTAGCTGCTGTGCACAAAGAGGTTTGTGCCACTGGACACTTGGCTGCCCATGTGGGTGCCACTGACAGATGCAGAAACAGGATCCCACATATCCATGGCATTCCCCGTTATAGCCAAATCTGTGTGGCCAAATCTAACCCACAGCCTTCTTGTCTGAAAAGTGGCAACAAAACAGAGCAATCCATGGCAGAATTTTCTTCTCTTGACTCTTAATAAATGTATTTGATCTCTGTCAAGTGCAGCAAGTATTAGTACTCAGTTTTCCATCCTTCAAAGTAACATAACAACCAGATGTTTCAATTAAAATCTGCTCCAAGCAAATGCAGCTATTTTTTTTGCTTTTATCCTCTTGCCTGACACTTATGCTTAGCAGGTTTTTTTAACAAGGTCTTTGTTTCACTTACAAATTTATATTTTAACATTCTGCAGTATTTTTTTCTGAACAAATACCTAATTTCTCATTGATGTCACAAATCTTTACAGTTTTGAGCAACACATTTTGACAGATACCAAGTTATTTGTTATGTGTGCAATAATTTGCTAAGGGTGCATTAATTTGCCAACTCTCTAATTTCCCTCTTAGTAGGTTGATCTAGTGTAGGTATCTGATGACATATTGAAAGTATGTATATATGGACTTTGAGAATTTATTATGAAAGTATGTATGACTAATATTTTACAGCAACTATAAATAGAATGTAATTTCTCTAAATAATATGTCAAACATAGTTAGAAAATCTGCTGTCTATTGGTGGGGTTGGGGCTTTTTTCAAGCTTTTGTTTAGAAAATTAATAAGCCTAACTGACCTAATGATTTCTAGCTCATTTGACTTACTGTACATAGTTATATAAGGACCTCATATGGAAACAAACAAGTGTTACTTGTGTTGCTGCCTGAGGCCTCTCACTTGACTCTCTGAAAGTCATCTAGAATATGTTGGGACAGGAATTTTCATTTTGTACTTATGAGTAAAATCTGTGTTAAAACTAATATGTTCTGGTTTAAAATAAGTGGTGAGACTGAGGGATTTCTTCCATGACCTTTTTTTTTCTTTTCTTAAAGTAGTTTCATAAGTTTTTTCTATTACTGACTTATGTTTCTTTGATTTCAAAATGCTTTCACTTTGCAGTGCTGCAGGCCTGCTTGCAACTGATTGCTGACAGCAAAAGTGATATCCAACAGAAAGGTAAGAATGGGTGCCATGATTTATAGTTAACTATTCCATGGGATAACTGTTTCAACAAATTTTACCTAACTTCAATGAAGTAACTGAGTTTTAATAGCAAACTTAAAAATAAAATATTTTTTTTTTTAAACCCAACAACAACAAACAAAAAAACCCTCAAACAACAGCAAGAAGGTCCCTGCATCTGGAAGGTCCCTGTATCTGGATGGCTCTTGCAAATATCATAGTTCCATTGGAGAAATCCACCTAGGGAGACTGGAATTTCTTTCTAGAAGTCAGCCTTTTTCATTTTTTGGCAGGTGAAAATTAAGAAAATAACATTTCCAATCACCCAAAATTATTTTGTCTTTTAGATGATTCAAGCATTGTCCCTTGGCTCCTGAGCTTTAAACGTGGAACAGCTCTGGAAGAACAAGGAAATAAAATAGTGATCAAAGAAACAGGTTATTTTTTCATATATGGCCAGGTGAGAAAACTCAATTCACTTCAGCACCTGACTTTTGTCAGGATTTTTTAATGCCTCCATACAATAAGTTTAAAGTTTCCACCTCTTCTTTCTGTAGGTTTTATATACAGATACAACATTTGCTATGGGACACCTGATACAGAGGAAGAAGGCTCATGTGTTTGGTGATGATCTCAGCCTGGTGACATTGTTTCGCTGCATCCAAAATATGCCACAGTCTTATCCAAATAATTCTTGCTATACTGCTGGTAAATATCTGCATTTTCCTTTTCTTTGTTTGCAAATAATAAGCTACATCAAATAGAATCTGTAGTGAGGGGCAATTGTGTTGTAGCAGTCATAAAGAACAGGGTCTGCATTCATGGATCTGGCTAACTGAAAAATTACAGAACACTTTCAGAAAATACAGTTTTATATGAAATATCAGCAACTGGAGATTATGCACCTAGCTCGGTGATCTGAACAATTTTGCTCTTTCCATTGCCTCTGTAATCTGGTTAGACATTTTGGTGCTTTCAGTTAGATGCCTGAGGCAGGCAAGAGGAATTCCTACTGTCCCCACTGAAGAACTCAGTTTAACTTAGGGGTTGAATTCCACATGTAGTCATCCCAATAAAATATTAAAGTGCTATATTCTCCTTTGAAATGTCATGTATGGATGTTAGCCACTCAATACCTTCATACCTTACTGTGACATTTCTACTCCTTATAAATCATGCTGGATTTTTAGTCTGGTTTGATGAAAAACAGTTAATTCCTATAAGGTGGTCTTTATGACTGCACAAATTAGAAACACCACAAGAAAGACAAATTAAAATATTTAATGCAGGCTCAATGGTCAATATATGTGTATATTCCTGCACTAGCATTTAAGGAGTTAGTGTCAAGGCCTATAAGACCCCATATACCACCTCTTATCTGTCTGTCTTTCCACATTAATGGTGGAAAAATTTGAGGGTTTTCTCTTTGGTTATTTTCCATCAAGAGTTTTTTTTTCAAGGTCTTATGAAAAAGTGGGTGACACTGAAGGATGGAGTTGACTGTCAGCAACTAACTCACTAGCTAGATACTTTGTCTTGGCAATTGAGGATGTCCAAACACTTCCTTGGATTTTTTGCTCCTTTTTTGAAGGTGGTTATGTTGCTAGTCACACATTAATCTATATTATGATTTTACCCCTGTATTACTGCTCCCTTTTCCTAACTAGAATCTCTGTCTTGCCACTTCATGATTCCTGCTTCCAAAATTCCTACTGTTCTGTTTTCACCTGGAAAAAAAAGTTCTGACTGCTCTCTCTCATGCTGTTGGGCTGTGTCACAGCAGGCATTAGATGTGTTTGTTCTCAGCTCAGCAGCTGCAGCTCGAAGGCAGCATGCTCTTGGGTATCGATCATATCAGCTGATGTGTGTCTGGCTGGAGGCAAACTGTTGCAGGGGATCAGCTGATGTGTGGTCACTTCATTAGGTTGGTAAAGCTCATAAGACCTCCTCCAGAAGTGTGGGAACAGAGTAGTCTGGGGCCAGTAGTACTCAATGCTGACTGTGACTGTCTCATCACCATAACATGAGGAACCTGGCTACACCACTGGTAGAAGTTTTTGCTGTGTTTGCTGAAGTGAACTCTGCTATGCCGAGTGCAGGGTTGAAATCGTCCATCTTCACAGAGGATGTAAAGTGTCAGCTTTGGGTAGGCTGTAAACTCTAAGATTGTACCTAAAGATAAAAACATTCATCACAAGTAACAAGCCTTGCTTATATTTGGAAGATGACACATAAAGACTTTTGAGTACCATTATAAAGGAATGTATTTGAGATATTAACTTAAAAATATTCCAAATCTTTTTCCAGGCATTGCAAAATTAGAAGAAGGAGATGAACTTCAACTTACAATACCACGGAGAAGGGCAAAAATATCCTTGGATGGAGATGGTACTTTTTTTGGTGCAGTAAGACTCCTCTGAAGCCCTTCATTTCTGTTTTTATGCTTAATGCCATTTTCTTCTCTACCTATGCCTTTGTCAGAAAAAAATATTGAATTGTAATAAAGCTGCCAATTCAACCTCTCCCAATCCACCACAGGCTTCTAAGAATTTTCTTCACTTTGATATGCAAACCCAAAACAGGAAACATACCAGACATACTTGTGAAATAACCACCATGTGATTACCAGAAAGCCAATTTATTTTAGACAATGGGACACTCTAGATAACAACTATAAAACAATGAGGTTTTGGCTTTGAAACAATTTGTTATCCCTATGGCAAACCAAAGGAGGAGTTGCCCAAAAATAACAGCATGACCAGGACCCCAGACTATCAAAGTGTTATCAATTGAAAAGGAAATCTAAAATTAAAGTGTATCCTAGATTTGCATTATTTCATAAGTAAAGTATTTAATATATAAAGTGTGGAGAAAAAACATTGAACAGTAGATTCCTCACCACAAAATGAAATTGCTAGTTGTTGTGTTCTGAGTTTTGGGGTTTTTTTTTTTCTTTCCCCAGAGATACTGGGGAAGGAAAAATTCTAAATGTCTGGGATAATTAAAAAAATATACAGAATTGCAGCCACTGTCTTGCTTCTTCCCTGTGAACAAAAAGTGAATAAATTACTACAATCTATTAGCATTTACTAATTAGAATTATTTTACTGGAAAAAGGACATGTAAAACACTTCATCAGCTCAATCTTCAAAGCATTGCTACTTGCCAAGGAATTTGTGTACACTTCTATGTAAACAAGGCTGGCACAGGAAGAAACACAGTGAGATTAGACACAACACCATGGCTGGAATTGGATTTCTGGCTCCATAATTTCTGCAGTCACATATAGATATGTGTGTAGATATATACAGTATGTAGACATATCTGTATATATCTGAGAGTGTGTATACACGCATTGGTCTTGGGCATTTAGGAATAGAATTTTATCTTCTTTTGAGCAGTTTATCCAATGGAAATACTACTTCATATATATTTTTTATATTTCCCTTGCTTCTTGCCATGATCCATTCTATGGAATACAGTAAAAAGAAAAATCCAATAGATCTGGAAACAGCCATTCAACTAAGAAAATAAACTTGTATCTCAGAGGCTTTTTCTGGGGTTTTGAATATAATGCTTAACTCTGTTTTACAAAAAAATTCAGATCTGTAGAAAGAATAAACAGATGTCCTTTTTCCTTTTCTTTTGTCTGGTTGATTTGTTCAGTAGGTAGTATTTATACCTTTTTTTAGTCCCAAATATTTTATGGTCAAAGGAGCTATTCTACTTTTTGCTGTGCTCTTAAAGAAGCATTGAAGAGCTATAGGAATAGATAAAAAGTAAAACCCTAAGTAATGAATTGTACTTTATTTGAAAAATATTTTTAGGACCTCAGAATTGTGTTATATAAGCTCACTTAGTAAAGAAAAGATGCTCTGCATATTGCAGTTTCCTTGTGTGTTTTTATGAATTGTGATCTGATTGATTTGTCATGGTGATAGACAATAAATAAAAGTGACTTGAAGCTCAGAATTATAAAACATGGTAAACTAATGAAGCAATTATTTCATCTTCTCTGGGCTTTGGGAAGACATTTCAGCAATAAGCATATGTGTATTGGATTTTTACACTGGGTTTTCAATGAGGCTTAACCACAGTTTCAAAATATCTGCAAGTCCTCCTTTTTTTAAAATGTGTTTATGTGTTGTGCAGCTGCAGCTGCTTTTTTCTCTTTTTTTTGTCTATATTATTATTATTATTATTATTATTATTATTATTAAACTTTGATGTGCTGAATTTGCCAAAAAGGCCTTTTAAATCCTGTACAGGAGCCCTCCATTTAACCAAGGTTGTATAATGCTGCATATAGGTAAAACAACTGTTAGCATGCAGCAAGTTGTTTGTCATTACTGAAGTGCATTAATTATGCCCAGAATCTCTCATCAGAAGTTTGTTGATTTTAGCATTGTCTGATTACAGGAAAAATTATGTTGTTACTGTTGCTTTCCCAGAGACTTGGTAGCTAAACTTGCAAATCTAACTTTTATTTTATTGTGTAAGCTTCCCCAGTGGTTTTGGTGGGCTTGTGTGTGCTTGGCTTAAGCCATTTCCCAGGCTGTATTTCTTCCTTCTGCTGCTGACAAATGTGCAAAGTGCAGACATTTGGAAAGGGTCTGGCGCATGATTTGGCTTGGAGGTAAACGTCTGTCTTCTGAAAGAAAAGCTTTCAAAGGTGTTCCCTTTCTTAGAAGGTTGAAACTGAACTTCAATTTCTTCACAAAAAGCAAGAAGCATGTTTCTGTGAGCCATGAGAACTCCCACGTGTGCAGAGTGCAAGCTGACAGACTGTTCAAATATTTCGACTGACAAATCCAGCAATTTTGTTGCTGTCAAATTAGCTTTTCACTGGCTTCATGAGAAAACTTGTGTTTTCAAAATTAACCTGCTTCCGCACAAAGTTGAGTTTTAACAGATCAGCATTTTATGATCAAAGCATAAAGAAAGAAAAGGAGAATAGTTCATCCCTGATCGTTCTGCTAACAAGCTGGTGATGCAAAAGGTAGCAAAGTGCATCCAGACCCCCATCACACATATGCTTCAGTGAGTGGGAGTTAGTGAAGCATCCTGCATTTGGGAGATATTTAAATAAGTGTGATAGGCAATAATTAGTATCTAGCTGGTTCATACAATATTCTACATTTTTATCAAGGATATCTTGCATTTAAGAGAGGTTTCTGCAAATGCAACAAACTTTGTGCATATTCTGGTTCTTTTTCACATGGTGTTAAGTAGCACAACAAGGGATTTTTTCTTTCCAGTATATTTTAACAGAAAGTGTGAAGTTGTATCATTCTTTCCTTTTTAATAATGTGAAGTTGACAGATGTATAGCTGCTTTGAATGTAATGTATTTAATGTAATGTGCATCTCATCTCTTTTATATGATGTGCAGTCACACACCCTGCCAACATACAGAGTATATTCATTATGTGACCTTTCTATACCTGACTGTTTTTCAAATTGCTCAGCATTTGCCAATTTAAGACTCATTTCAGAGGTCCCACAATTTTGCCAAGCTTATAGTGCTAGAGCTGACAGTTTCTGTATCTCTGGTTTGTGTCTTAGGTTGAATTATCTTGGGTTGTCTTTAGCCCTCACAGTTCTACTCTTCTAGAGATGAGGTTAGGAAAAATGCATTCTTTGGAATTTATTTTAAAACTTTGGCTACGTTTTCTTTGAAAAGGACTAGAGATTTTGCTTTGAAAGAAGAAATGTGTATAATGTGGGTTTTTCTTTGTTTTCAAAAGAGTTTTCTTTCTTCCTTCCTCCCTTTCTTCTGGACTCTCACAGGGTATATGCTTTTGAACAATATTTTATGCTCTCTCATGTTAAGCATATTCTATCTCTATGGAACTTTCAAAAAGAAGAGGAAAATGTTCCCAGCAGTTTTGTGTCTGGATTACATCAGTAAGGTCTGAGGTTTTTTTTCAAGGTCAGTCCAAACAGGAGTGAGAAGGAACCTCGTGCAAATACAGGGAAGAGGGAAGCTAAATATTTGATGTAAAAAGACTCTCATGGAGTTTGCAGGTTACATAGATCCCAGCAGTGATGGGGGAAACAAAATAGAATTGGAGCTGGATGGCAGGAACAGGAGAGACCTTAGCTAGGATTTAATTTATTGATTTCTGATTCACAAGCTCTCTTATTCCCAGCTCACAACTCATAACTCATGCACCTATGAGCAAAACATAGGGAAGAGCTCTGGTTCTTCCTGCTCTGCCATGGCACAGGGGCCACACTGTGAGGCATGAAAGCCTCAGCAATCCAGCTGCTGCTGCAGCCACTTCAAAAACTGTTTGGGTAAGCTGACACCTGCCAGCTTGGACATTTGGTCAACACCATCTCCAGGAGCCAGCAGGTTTTGCCAGATAGCAACAGGCAGAGATGATGGCTGCAGGCAGAGATGATGGCTGCAGGAGACAGCAGGCTGCAGGTGGCAATGGCTGCAAAAGGACCTTTAGCCCTTTCTGGCCACTGTGTCCAGCACAAGTGTTGCCTTTGCTTTGGCTGAACAGCAATGACCCCAGCACACAACAGGGAATAACTCAGAGCATGATGTTAGCCAAAATCTGAGCAGGAAGTGAGTGAAGAGCCACACCATGGGGAGTGCAGTCAGCCACTGATGCAAGTTGTTCACAGATTTCCAGCACTTTTTTGGATAAATCCCTGAGCAACATCATCTGAATTCAGTGTTGATCCTACTTTGAGCAGGATGAAGTCCAGGCCTCCTAAATGATCCCTTTTCCCTGCCTGATTCTCTGATAAGAAAGCAGGAGATGTGAGAGGCAGAGAAAGGACTGAGTGGTGGGTCAGAAAAGGTCCTGCTGGGGAAGGAAGGGTGTTCATTTCCTGAGTGCTAATGAAACACAGGGTCCTCAGTGTGTGCTTCAACAGGATCAGCAAACATTTATGTGCTGAGCAGGGCAGGTTCCAGTTCAGCACAGCAAGCTGCTAGTAGTCATCAGGTACTGCATGACCTCAAACCTAAGAGTGTAAATTGAATCAAACCATGTGGCCAAGTAATAATCTTCATTCGCTCTCTTGCAAGTTTGCTTTGACTTTTTTTCCTGCCTCTCTCCCCAGTTCACTAAGTGGATGGAAGGAAGATACTTCATCCTGTGGAAAATAGGATATTGATGGAAAGTGTTTTAAGCTGAAGGCCAGAAATATATCTCAGAAATGTTGAAAGGAAGTAGTAAATGAGGTAGAACATGCAAGAAGAGACATTACAGTGTCCTGTTTAAATCAGAATTGCATTCTCTTTCTGTCAGTGAGAGCTGGCTGAAAAGTCATGTTTACTTTCCACAGATGCTGATTTTTTTTTCTTCTTTTAAGGCAAGAGTTGTTTCAGTTTTGACTTCAAACCACTTCTACTAAAACATTTTGGCCAATCTACAGATCCTATCTCTAGTCCTGATGAATGTCAGTCATTCCAATGGCTGTGAGAAGTCCTGTATCACAACATGTATGTGAATTCCCCCGACTGTGCTTAGGCTGTTTGCTTCCCAAAGCTGCTCAGCCTAGGGAGGAGTCTTGATGAGCTCCTTTTAATCTAGAGACTCCCACTTTCAATTTCCCTGGCTCAGAAGCCAACAGCCCTTTTGGAAGTCTAAGCTCAGTTCCCCCTGGGCATAATTTTCAGTTTCATAACAGTTTGTCCAGTCTGAAATATTTTAAGGAGAACATGCTGGGCTCTACAAACTGTGGTTTTGACAAAGCTCTGTTTGGTCTGAAAATGTCCAGACTGCCCTAGCCTTTGCTGTAGAGTTCCTTAAATAAGATTTTTCACAGGTGGTCACTGAGTGAATGTTCCTCATTCTCTGTCTGACTGACTGATGCCCTTGTGGTCTCATTTGCAGAAGTGTTGAAACACACAGCTGCAACTGAAATTAGCAGGAGCATGCTTTGAATACATGGGGGGCTGTATATCTCT